CAAAGCCTAGGACCTTCATTACAGAGATAAATCATTCTATACTCTACAGTGGTACAATGGGGAACAGAAAGGAGGGAGGAAGGAATGAGGGAAGTAGAGAAGGGGAAACTATAGGGAAGGGTAAAGAGAGAGGAGATTAAAGGGGAAAAGGGGAAGAAGTAGAGAGGAGAGGAGAGTGAAGGAGAGAGTGGAGGGAAGAAGAAAGGGGACAAGAGATTCGGAGAGCACAAATCAAGGAGAGATCAAGTGAAAGGAACAACTTAGTAAAATACTGTGGGAAAAACTCAAAGACAGAGAAACAAGGAAATGAAGGAGGAAAAAAGGAGAGTAATTGACCCTAACCCAAGACAGCCTGGGACCTAGATAGAGATAAATGGGTTGATTAAAGAAGAAGAAGAAAAAAAGGTGTCCAACACACTCTTAGAAATAGATATTTAAATCACTCCCATTCCAAGAAGTTCTATATGTACACTGACCATAATGGTTGGTACCTACTAGCCACAGTGGCTATGGGCATTGGAAACAGGGCTAGTCTGAACTGAGATATACTATAAGTATAATATACACACTTGCTTTCAAAGATTTAGTATGAAAAAATATTAAATATCCCATATAAAATATTATATTTTATACTAATTATATCAAACAATAATATGATTAAATTGGATTAAAAATGATTAAATACAATTTCAGGTTCCTTTCACATTTTTCGAGTGGGTACTAGAAACTTTAAAATTGCATATTTGGCTCACACTATACTTCTACTGGACAGTGCTACTCTAGATTTTTAAGACTATTTTAGTGTCTGCCCTGGTGCCAGAGTGAAGTAAGAGAAAACTGCCATTCCTATATCCATCCCCAACCTTCAGAATCCTAGTTGTCAAGAGATGTAAAATAACATATCAAGGTGTCAACCTGATTATGACAGAAGCCATGAGTTCAAACAGGACATAAACCTCTATTACATTTTTTAATAGTTAAATCTAAGCAACTGGTGAAGACTTTCACAGTTGAGTAAAGAATGGTGCAATAAAACTGGGAATTTAACTGAAGGGAGTGAACCCAGGAGACTCAATTTGCAACACTGGAACAACTTTAGGTCTTAAAGACTTGACATAATCTGACTAGCACAGTCAAAGAAGGTATTTAAAGATTTTCGTTACATTCATAAAAATGAATACATATACAGGGGTATTTTTGAAAATCCTTTCTCCAGCACCTATTGAATGTTTTTGAAAGTTTTTAAAAAATCACTTTCTCATCCCTCATTAAAACAATTTTCTCATCTGTTATATAAATCCTACTTGGTCATGATGAATAATTTTCCCATCCGTTATATAAATATAAATGCCAGTGAAGAAGAAGGAAGACTTCCAAACTCATTTTATGAGGCCAGCATAACTCTAATTCCAAAACCAGATAAAGACACTAAGAAAGAAAACTACAGGCCAATTTCCCTGATGAACATAGATGCCAAAATCCTTAACAAAATCTTAGCAAATCAGATCCAGAGATATATTAAAAAAATTATTCACCATGACCAAGTAGGATTCATCTCATGGATGCAAGATTGGTACAATATTCACAAACCAATAAATGTGATATAATACATAAACAAAATGAAAGATAAAAGCCATTATGATCATATCAATAGACACTGAAAAAGCATCTGACAAAATCCAGCACCCATTTCTGATATAAATGCTCAGCAATATGGGAATAGAGGGATCATATCTTGACATAATAAAGGCCATACATGGAAAACCTACAGCCAACATCATATTCAATGGGCAAAAACTAAAACTATTTCCCTTAAGAGCAGGAACAAGACAGGGATGCACACTTTCAACACTCTTCCTTAACATAATACTGGAAGTCTTAGCCATAGCAATTAGACATGAAAATAAATAAATAAATAAATAAATAAATAAATAAATAAATAAATGAATGGGATCCAAATTGGGAAGGAATAAGTGAAATTGCATTATTTGCAGATGACACGATATGGTACATAGAAAACATCAAAAATCCACTAGATTCAATAAATGAATTTGGCAAAGTAGTAGGATACAAAATTAACATCAAGAAATCAATGGCATTCTTATATACCAATAATGAACTCACAGAAAGAGAAACAAAAAAAAAGTCCCATTTACCACTATGGCAAAAAATTCAGATACCTAGCAATAAACTTAACCAAAGTGGTAAGAAACTATTGGCAGAAAACTACAGGTCACTGAAAACAGAAACAGAAGAAGATATAAAAAAGTGGAAGCATATACCTTGTTCATGGGTTGGAAGAAATAACATCATTAAAATGTCCATACTACCCAAAACAATCCCCATCAAAATACCAACAAAAACTCCAAAAGTTTATATGGAACCAAAAAAGACCATGAATAGCCACAGCAATCTTGAAAAAGAAGGACAAAGTAGGTGGGACCACAATACCTGATATCAGGTTATATACTACAAAGCTACTGTAATCAAAACAGCCTGGTACTGGCACAAGAACAGGCATATAGACCAGTGGAACAGAACAGAGAACCCAGAAATTGACCCAAGACATTATGCTCAATTAATATTTGACAAAGGTGACAAGAGCATATAAAGGAGTAAAGACAGCCTCTTTAATAAAAGGTGTTGGGAAAATTGGACAGCTACATGCAAAAAAATGAAACTAGACCACCAACTTATGTAATACACAAGAATGAACTCAAAATGGATAAAAGACTTAAATGTGACTCGTAAATCCATAAAATTCCTAGGAGAAAATGTCGGCAACAAAATTTCAGAAATCACATGATACAGAATTTTCACTGATACAATGCCTAAGGCAAGAAAAACAAAGTAAAAATGAACACATGGGACTACATCAAACTCAAAAGCTTCTGTACAACAAAAGAAACAAGCATCAAAATGGAAAGGGAACCCAGTGTATGGGAGAGAATAACTGCCAACAATACATCAGATAAGGGGTTCATTTCCAAAATACATAGAGTACTCCTACAACTCAACAAAAGAAAGACAAAGAACCCAATTAAAAACTGGGCAGAGGACCTGAAGAGACACCTCTCCAAACAGGACATACAAATGGCCAAGAGACATGAAGAGATGCTCAATGTCACTAATCATCAGAGAGATAAAATTAAAACAACTATGAGGTATCACCTCACACCTGCCAGAATGGCTGCCATCAACAAATCATCAAATAACAAGTGCTGGAGAGGGTGTGGAGAAAAAGGAACGCTAGCACACTGCTGGTGGGAATGCAGACTGGTGCAGACCCTACGGAAATCAATATAGTATTTCCTCAAAAACTTAAGAATTGAACTGCCATTTGATTCAGTGATCCCACTTCTAAGAATACATCCTAAGAAGCCTGAAACACCAATCAGAAAGAATATATGTACCCCTATGTTCATAGCAGCACTATTTACAATTGCTAAGATCTGGAAACAGCTCAAGCGTCCATCAGGATGAGTGGATAAAAAAACTGTGGTACATATACACAATGGAACACTATGCAGCTGTAACAAAGAAAGATCTCTTATCCTTTGAGACAACATGGAGGGACCTGGAGCGCATTATGCTAAGAGAAATAAGCCAATCAGAGAAAGACAAATACCACATTATCTCACTTATTTGTAGAATATAATAAACCAAAAAAAGCTGATGAACAAAATAGACCCAGAGACACAGAAAGGAAATGGTTCAGATTGACAAACTTCAGAGGAGGGGGATAGGTGGGGAGGGATGAGATAAACCAAAGAACTCATATCCACATATGCGTAACCAATGGACATAAACAACAATGTTTGGGGGTGGGGATGGGTGGGATAGGGAGGTGGGTGTCAATGGGGGAAAAAGGAGAAACATCTGTAACAAAAATAAATTAAATACGCTGGAATATTCCAAAACTTCACTAAAAAATACAAAAAAAACACGTATATACTTGCTCCCCTATGAAAAAAAGAACTAACCTATTGTATGTTTAATGCACAACACTGTATCAACAAAATAATTTTGTTACATAGTGACTGTATTCTTATCCCCTTTTGTTTCTATCAAATCAAATCCAAGACACAATCCATTTACTGGATTAAAGATTTTATAGGGCTAAAACAGTGCTGCTCAAACTTTAGTGTACACAGAAATTCACTGGAGACTCTTTATTAAAATATACATTCTGATTCAGTAGGACTGGGGTGGGGCTGAAAATAGTGCATTTCAAACAAGCTCCACGTAACACCAATGCTACTGGTCTGTGGATCACAGAGTAGAAAGAAGTTAAAATACACAATTAACCCTACATTTAAAATGGAGCAGAACAATTTATATTTAGTAAACTAAAATGGAAAAATAAAATTTCCCCAAAGAATCCATTCTGATTTCTATTTATGGCATCACCTCAAATAACAGGCATCCTAGTATTTCCAAGAGTTGGTTGTCCAGAATTACCAAGCTCAAAAACATACCAATCTATCAAACTTTCTTACCAGATCAAGTCAGTTTTTATTTGGGACAAGGGCCTCTACATTTATCTTAGGCTCTAACTGAGATATAGGTAATGGGAATAAGCATATCAGGAAAAGAGAGAGGAAGTTCTAATATTTCTTTGGGAATTATGGTTATGCCTATGAAATGCAACATCCACATGTACAAACATATTTATTATACATCTCAAATAAAAATGAGTATAAAAAAGCAAAATAATTATATCATTGTGGGAATAATAGTGAAGACTGGAGTATAGATTTCTCAGTGGCTTTTTTCTTTATTCTTTTCTGAACCTACCAAATTTTCTGCAACAAGCATATAATACTTCCATTACTCAAATACACTGTTAAATTTAAAAACACATGACAAAATCCATGAAAAGCATTAAAGGAAAGCAGTAATACTCAAGAATTCTTATTAATGATGATTAAAAAGCATCTAAGAATAAGTATAATAAAAAACAAAGAATTTTAGATAATATTAATATTCAAGTTACTTACCTTAGTAAAGTTATTCAAATGGCCCAGCTTTCTCATATTTGAAACCCCTTGCAATTTGGCCACATTTTGGAGAATCTCCCTTAAGTTATCAGAAGGTTCTAGAAGAAAAGACAGATAATTTAACATAATAAAAGAGTATTTTCCTAATTAAATACATAAAACATACAGTATTAAAATCTCACAACTTTGGCTTTTGATTTAAATTCTTGCTCTTCATCTCAAATCCGTCTACTTAGGTGACATCAAAGTCCATGTGGATGATTCATTCAATGACCTTCACATCTATACTCCCCTCATATCTATGGCCCTGCTCTGTGAGTCATCACCTGGAATTATTCAACCACTAAATCTTAAATTTCACTTCTAGCTACATGTAGTAATGGGCATCAAAAATACTGTCCTATTTGAACCAACAACAACAACAACAAAAACCTAGACAAAGTATATCAAACTATAGTTCACGACAATGGACATCGGCAAGTAAAGAAAAACAATCCCTGAGAGATGAAAAACAAGCAATTGTGCTCTACAGTTGTCCCAGCTTACAGGCCTTGGTGCTGACAGGAGAAACCTGGGCACACTGTTGGAGTTGAAGAGACAGAGATCATATCACAAAGGAACCCCTTAGTTGGTCAACACAGTAATGATTGGTGCGTGTGTATGTGTGAGAGGAAATTACCACTCAAAAGAATTAAAGGAAAGAGTACCTTGCTTTCATACAGGAAAGGGAGCTGTGCTTGTTACTAAAAGCCAAATTGAAAAGTCTTAGCTCAGTAGTGGGTAAAAATTAGATATAGACTAAACATTTCTTTGACCTCATCTAAAAAATCTTCAAAGCAAGATTTGAAAACTTTAAACTGATTCCAAGTAACTAAACTGTGTTTCAAACCAAAACTCAAGAAGATTTATAAGAGAAAAAATATGAAGCATGTAACAGCAAAATTTAAAAATCAGGCATGCATGGCAAACAAGCAGGAAAACATGACCATAATGAGCAGAAAAATAAATAAACTGAAAACAACCCAGAACTGACACAAACATTAGTATTAGCAAAAAAGGACATTAAAAGAGTTTTTATAACTGTAGTCTTTATGTTCAGAAACTTAGAGGCATGAACGGTGTAACAGATAAAGCTCTCAAACTACAGATGGGAATAACAGCAGAACAGCCTTTAAAGAAGGTAAGTGTAAAGCAATAGAAACTATCGAAACTGTAACAAAAAGAAAGAAAAAAGAGCATCAGTGAACTATAGGACTTCAGGCAGCCTAGTACACTTTACAATATGTGTAATTTGAGTCCTGAAAAGGTAGAAATGGGGGATAGAAAAATTATTTGAAATAATAGACGAAAACTTCCCAAATTTGATGAAAATAAGCCAATAAATTCAAGAAGCTCAACCAACCCCAAGTACAAGAAATGAAGAAAACCAGACCAAGGCACATCTGAATCAAATCAAATTGCACAAAATCAGTGGTAAAGAAAGTCTTAAAAGAAACCAGAATAAAAAAAAAAAAAAGACGACAGCCCTGGCCGGTTTGGCTCAGCAGTTAGAGCTTCAGCCCACAGACCAGAGAGTCCCGGGTTTGGTTCCGGCTAAGGGCACATACCTCGGTTGCAGTTTGTCCCCAGCCCCGATTGGGGTTGTGTGGGTGGCAACCACTCGATGTGTCTCTCTCACATTTATGTTTCTCTCTCTCACACATCGATGTTTTTCTCTCTCTCTCTCTCCCTCCTTCCCACTCTATCTAAATGCAAAGAAAAAAAAATGTCCTCAGGTGAGGATAAAAAAAAAAAGACGACAAATTACATAGAGAAGAGTAAAATAAAGGGCGACAGTAGATTTCTAGTAGGAAACAAGGCAAGTGAAAAGACAGTGGAGCAACATCTTTGAGATATTTATATTTTTTCTTTTCTTTTTTTTTTTTTTTTATCCTCACCCGAGGATATTTTTCCATTTTTTGTACAGATAGAGTGGGAGGGAGAGAGAGGAAGGGAGAGAGAGAGAGAAACATCGACGTGAAGGGACACATCGAGTGGCTGCCACCCGCACGACCAACCAGGGCCGGGGACAAACTGCAACCGAAGTACGTGCCCTTAGCGGGAACCGAACCCGGGTCTCTCCGGACCGCAGGCCGACGCTCTAACCGCTGAGCCAAACTGGCCAGGGCAAGATATTTATATTTTTTAAAATGCTATAAAACATGTATGGAAACCACTCTTAGCTTACTTGCTTTACAAAACCAGGCCACAACCAAATATGGCCCCACGGTTTATAGTTTGCCAACCACTGGTATAGAGTGCCAATTTCTTCAGGCTGCAAAAAGCTATTTTTCTACTAATATATTTAGCATCATATTGGTTTGAAAAACAAAACAAAAACATAATCTAAAAAGAAACTGTATCACATTGTAGATATTTTGGTGTAAGAGCCATTATGACTTCCTTGAGATTTTTATGTCAACACGATACCAAAGAACTATTTGTTTTGAATTAGTGTTTTCCCCAGCAAATGAAACTGCTTGCGTTGTCCTAGTTTACATTTAGCTTGCATCTGCTCACATTTTGTTATACTGGGTGGTTAGTGTCAAACTCCTAAGCACACTACATATCCCAGCTACTTCCAATCACTATGAAATTGCAACATACTGAGATCATTCATTTGATCTCAGAGTATCTCCCTATAAATTTGGGATGTTTTTAAACTCCAATAAAATTCTATCTAATTTTAAGTGATTTTAGAATATGTCTTTATAATTAGTAACTCAGAGTATCTTAAAAGTGAAATGAGCCCTGGCCGGTTTGGCTCAGCGGTTAGAGCGTCGGCTGGCAGTCCAGAGAGACCCGGGTTCGGTTCCCGCTAAGGGCACGTACCTCGGTTGCAGTTTGTCCCCAGTCCTGGTTGGTCGTGTGGGTGGCAGCCATACGATGTGTCTCTTTCACGTCGATGTTTCTCTCTCTCCCTCCCACTCTATCTGAGCAAAAAACGAAAAAGTGTCCTCGGGTGAGGTTTAAAAGAAAAAAAAAAAGTGAAATGAAAACCACTCATCATTGGGTGGGAACAGATCTCATTAAAAACAATTGCAAGGAACCATGGATAGGTCACTGCTATAGGTGAGCCAATGACATTAAAATTATTTAACTTATTCGTGAACTTTTAAAAAACTTTACAACTCTTGATGTAATTTAGAACCTTCAGTAGTTTGCAGTCAGAGTTAAGGATCATTAGAGCCAGTGTGAAATGTACCTAATGGAAATATATAACCTAACCATTTTACATCAATTTTTACTTAGGATGTCAGGCTGTACTAAAGTGATGACACTACAACGTAATGAATAATCTGATAGGACTAATAGTTAAGATGATTAGTCTGACAAGATACATACTTCACAAAAGCTTGCAGATTTCTCATTATTTCCTACTTTCTAGGTTGCAGATTTTTTTTAAACCATAATCACGTTACAACCATCTTACACAATTATATTCTAAATAAAATCTCATATCTTAGTTCATTCATTAACTATTAACTGAACAACTATTATGGTCAGGTACGTTTGAGGTAGTGGGAATACATCAATAATGAAGACAGATCCGTTTTTAATGAACCTTAGACACAAATGGAAAACCGATAATCAACAATAAGAAAACAAAATTAAAGACAAAAAACATACACACAATTTGAAAACTGACAGGTGATAAGCTAGCACCGGGCCAAATGTTTGTCTAATGACTAATGATATAATAAAATGAACCTACCACCCTATAATACAGATGTTACTGTCAATGCCAATCAAAATGATCCAGCCTTTCCACTTCCTTTCCCCTCCTCATCCCTTTTTTTCTTTTTAATCCTCACCAAAGGACATTTTTTCGTTTTTTGTTTCAGAGTGGGAGGGAGAGAGAGGAATAGAGAGAGAGAGAGAGAAGTATCGACGTGAAAGGGACACATCGAGTGGTTGCCACCTGCACGACCCAACCAGGGCCAGGGACAAACTGCAACCAAGGTACATGCCCTTAGCAGGAACCAAACCTGGGTCTCTCTGGACCGCAGGCCGATGCTGTAACCACTGAGCCAAACCGGCCAGGGCCCTTTTCTCTTTTATATAGTTAATTACAGGAACCCTCAACTATGGAAGAATTTCAAAGTTTCTTCATGATGTATTAACTCAAGAGAGTATTAAGGCCATTGTAGACAGAAAATACTACAATGCTCATGTGCTACAATATTACTATGGTAATAAAATGAGAAATCCCTGGTTTCCTCCTTACTGGCTGGATCAGGAGTCTGCAAACTTTTCTTTTCTTTTTGGTATGTGCCCCTAGTGGAAACCGAACCCGGGACTCTCTGGTCCGCAGGCCTATGCTCCAACCGCTGAGCCAAATCGGCCAGGGCTGCAAACTTTTCTTGTCAAGGTACACATAGAAAGTATTTTAGACTTTGCTGGCCGTAAGGTCTCTGTTGCAACACTAAACTCCACTGTTGGAGCAAGAAGGCAATCATAGAAAATGCATAAATGAATAAATGTGGCTGTTTCAATGAAATGGGCTTGGCTCAGGAGCTATATTTTGCCAACTCCTATGGCAGATAGTGAGAACTTAGACTAGGAAGAATAGTGAGCAAACTGAGATCAGTGTGGCTCTTACTGGGGCAGGAGAGATCAGGGAGAGGGAGAGGAAGGGAGAGGGACAGAGAGAGGGAGAAACATCGATGTGAGAGAGAGAGAGAGAGAGTGTGAGAGAGAAACATCGATGTGAGAGACATATCTGTCTCTTCAACTCTTTATTTCTTCCTACTGTCATTTATAAATGTTTCCAATTTAGCCTCTCTAAAACTGTCCTGATTATAGTGCCATGTGCAAAGTATGAAGCACAAATGAGATAATCTACTAGGATATTCTTTGAACCCTTGAATTTTGGGAAACTCAGCTGCATAAGAGGAGAAGAAAAAACAAAAACAAAAAAACTGTGCCTAGCTGGCTATGATGACCAACTTTTCAACTGCAAGGAAGCAAAACACAAAAGAACTTAGAACTGAAGTGGCTCTTTTCCTCTTATTGTATAACTTGTAAATTCCTGATGCATCTCTCTGGTAAATTCCTG